TATCACAATATTACTGGGAGAGTCTCAAGGGCAAGCATGAAACTTGCAGTTTCACCCTTCTTCTTTTTCAACAAGTTTGATTGTGACTATATAATGTTCCTTTAATCTGAAACTTTTTGTGATATTCTCCTCTACTCAGCTATGTGTCCCCTTTTGTGTTTCTAAAGATATGAAATCATGAATTTCAAGAAAATGGGGAAGGACTACTTTGATTATATTAACGTTGGCAGCTGGGACAATGGAGAGCTGAAGATGGACGATGATGAAATATGGTCAGAGAAAAACAATATCATCAGATCTGTGTGCAGTGAACCTTGTGAAAAAGGCCAGATAAAGGTAAACATTTTTCCCATTCTTGGGTAGTTTACACAGCCTTGAAATTTGAAAACAAGTTTTCCCTGACTCACATGGATGCAGCATCCCACACCTTAATTAAAGTGCACAAACTAACACGTCTAGTTCTTACCTGTATCATAGACATCTTGCTTTTTTTCATATATTGCTACATACTCCTATATCTGTGAATTGCTGACTTTTTAACTCTCATATTCCAAATTCTTTAAAATAAGTATTTTAGGGTTTTCCTTTGCCACGTATTTTTACAGCATCTGATCCAGAGTAGGGCAATTCCCTGACTGGGAATTGTCAGTACATTTGCAAATAAATTATAGAAAATAATTGCTACTAATTCAGAGCTACACATTCACACCTAAACTGGAATTTTATTAATCAGAACGTAAGTCTGTGGCATCATCAGAGAACACTGATAAAGACTTCTATTTAAAACTTCAGGAAACATAGGTGATTTTTTATTTGTTTATTTTTTTAATCACATCCTGTTTTGCTGCTGCTTTGTTTCTACTTTTTGATTTTTCCTTCCTCCCTTTCCATGTCACAGTAAGTGAGCAGGGCAGATAAATCTGTCATATAATAACTGTACTCTATTATCCTTCAGCATCCCATAACACTGAAGAACAGGTAAATACTGCAAGTCCTTAGCTTACCTTACAGTAATTTATTTTTGTATAATACTTATATCCCCCCAGGCTGTGGACTGAGGGGATGGGCATGGACAGCAGAGTGCTTCAGACTGGAAAAAAAACAGCTGTAATTTCTGACATAGAATCATAGAACCATAGAATTATTTGAGTTGGAAGGGACCTCAAAGATCATCAGTTTCTAACCACCTTGCTATGAACAGGGACACCTCACAGTAGACCAGGCTGCACAAAATTTCATGCAACCTGGCCTTAACCACCTCCAGAGAGGGGACATCCACAACGTCCCTGGGCAACCTATTCCAGTGCCTTACTACCCTCATGGTGAAGAATTTCTGCCTGCTGCCTAACCTGAATCCCCCTCTTTCAGTCTAAAACCATTACCCTTTGTCCCATCACTACCCTCTCTGATGAAAAGCCTCTCCCCAGCTTTCCTGTAGCCCCTTCAGGTACTGGAAGGCTGCTATAAGGTCTCTCCAAATCCTTCTCATCTCCAGGCTCAATAGCCCCAATTTCCTCAGCCTGCCTTCACAGCAGAGGTGCTCCAGCCCTTTGATCATCTTGGTGGCCCTTCTCTGGACCCTTTCCAACAGCTTCATGTCTTTTCTGTGATGATGGCTCCAGAGCTGTACACAGTACTCCAGGTGCTCATGAGAACAGAGCACGAGGGGCAGAATCACCTCCCCCACCCTGCTGGCCATGCTTCTTTTCATGCAGCCCAGGCAGCAGTTACTCTTGCTGGAAGCTGGATAACTGTGCTCCTTTGTTAACATGACATACTGCAAACTGGAAGCAGCTGCAGTGAGGGACTGTTGGGAGGCTGACCATGCTCTGCAATACAAAATTAATCCAGTATTTATAACGTGGTCATGATGTTTTATTCACTAACTGGTCTTTGACAGAGTCAGTAAGCACGTTTCATCTGACCAAATTTGTATATCTTCAGTGTAGGCTTATACAGCTGCATCAGGCTTCTGAACTTCCTTTAGAGTCAATGAAAATAATTCCAGATAAAGAGTCATCTCATCCTTCTGTAGACTTTGAAAAGAGTTAATATGAGTCTTGGTGTAGAAACATTTCTTTCTCTTCACTGGTGGTAGAAGGCACCCAGCCAGGACATTTGGTTCAGACAAGAATATACTTTCTGCAGACACATAAAGGAAGGCTGGATTAATTACTCTCACAGGAGCTAAATGTTAGCTTGCTCCAGCCACGAAATCACATACGTGAGAGGACAGAGATGGACGAACAGATAATAACTAAGCAGCTCTGAGTTCCTTTATGATTTGTTGCTATAACAGAGGTGATGGGATCTTGTTGTCTCCATTAATACAGTCTCCTTCTACTTTCTCTCTGTGCTTTCAAGGATTCTCCTGAAAGAATTCTTCACCATGAAACCAATTCATCACACAAATAGACACAATGTCTGAAATATTCTTTATGCTACTCATTAGTTATTGATTATAAATCTCAAAGCTTACTACACAGTCCTTCATTTTCATGGTCTTCACAGATGATGGGGAGGCCTTGATCCTGCCAAGTTTTATGATGGTTTTCCTACAGAATTCTATGGGGCTCAGTTATTATGCAGGAATTTGAAATATTCAGTTTTGTGATATCCAACACTCAGCAATATCTGTACAACCATCTGAAGAACTTGGTAAAATCCAAAAAACAGTCCAACCTTACATATTTTAAATAGTGAGGACATATGAATATTTAAAAAACTATGGGTTTGATGAATTGCCCAGGTGACAAGGGAAGGGAAAATAATTTTTGTTTTAAAGAGAATTTTTGTGGTTAAAAGGGAAAGAAAAGATTGTTTTACAGCTCAGTGCTACAGCAAACAATTGCTCAAGAAATGTAAAATAAAAGGTTGAAGAAATAACTAACTCACCAGTTTAATACCAAAAAAAAGTCTGACATGATTCTAACTAGTAGATAGCAATTCTTTTGATTTCTAGAGAATTATATGTAATCCTTAACTGGATTAAATCTGGGTTAGTTTTGAGTAAGAAACAGTCAGTGACCAGATCCTTGAGGTCCTTTCCAACCTAGTATTCTATAATTCTATGATTCTACAATTCACTTATGTGAAGGATTTGACAAATTCCAGGTATTTTATAGAAGATGTTGATTTGGTTAAAATTTAACAGAAAAGGGTTATAGTTTAATTACATTAATAAAATGTTTAGTTGTATTGATAATAGTGTATGGTTGTTATCTTGCCATTTAATTTTCTTGAGTCTTTTATGTATTGTAAAATTGTAGGTTTTTATGACGCATCAAGTTTACCAAGATATGTGCCTAAAAATAATACAAGCTCTCCAGGAATTTATTTTCCCTGACACAAGAAATTTTGTCATTTGTTCAATTTTCACCCTAGTTCAAAGTAAATTAAATCCCAAGATGTTACATTTTCTGGAGGAAAGATATCCTGTTTTGCTCTAGTCTCTTATGTCACTTATGCTCCCATGGCATTTCTGCCAGTTTAGGTATCCAGGTGTGGCTTTTCTTCTTCTCATGCTCTACAATTTTAAAAACAAAATAAATAATTGAAGTTTTCAAGTTCTTATATTGCTGATGAATATTATACCATTTACATTTTTTCACTGTAATGTTGCAAAGATCAATCCAGTTCTTCTGTATTACACTCTTTTATATTCCATTTATTAAAATGACAATTAAGGTGTTTGGTTTTGAAACCATCTTCTACATTCGTCATTGCAAAAGATTCATAAGTCAGCCTACTTCTTATGCTATAATTGGGAATATCCATTTATAAATAGTTTGGGAAGAGCAGAGAAACTGGGAATACATTATTTCAAAAGAAAGACATACTGACAACAAGCATAGATGTTTTCAGTGCTCAGAGATGATAAGTAATGATCTTGAAAAATCTGTATCTCAATTTTGAGCATGCAATAACACTTGGCAGTAAATCACAAAATCAGAAATCAGGTCAGACGTAAAAATGGATAAAGATAACATGCTCACTCTTAAATGTTAATTAGAAATTATGTTAATTAGTAATTAAACAATTCTGGAAAGGCATGTTCAGTTTGATGTCTGGAGAAAATCAGTTTTAAGAAATCACTCATAATTGGATGACAAATAAGCAAGCCAAAAACCCCAAAATGAATCCTTAGGGAAATAATGTTATTGACATGATTCCCCATACGGACCAAAATGGAGTGAATTATATACCTTGAGTATCATGCATTGGCTTCTATAGGCACATTGCCATGTAGAAATGTTTTGTTAATTCTAAGAGGGGAAAAAATATCTTATTGTCTGTCTGTACCTCCATTTGTACTTCTGTAGGGTTGATGTTTGGTTTCTTCTGGTATACACATGATGGGGGAACTGAGAACTTGTGTCATTTTTTGTACAAGCAAACATATAATAAAAAGGTAATCTCTTTAATTTTTTTATTTTTTTTTAACCACCACAACAAACAAAAAAACACCTCTATCAAAAAAAACAGATTAAAAAAATAAGTTAGCAACTAGGGCAGCCTGAATATGCACTGGTGCTGGTAAAGAAAATGTCACTTTTTGTCTCAGGTGATCCGTAAAGGAGAAGTGAGTTGCTGTTGGACCTGCACCCCTTGTAAAGAGAATGAATATGTATTTGATGAATACACATGCAAGGCCTGTCAGCTCGGCTCCTGGCCCAACGATGACCTCACAGGTAAATGAGTGGTGGCTGTGCTCATGTTGTCAATTAAAATGTTCATCTGCTGAGCTGAAGAAACAAATGCCATATATGAGTGAGTATGAGGACTGTTTCGGTCAAAACAAACCCAGGGCTAAAGATGAAAATGTAACTGAGGCTGGTATTTGGCTTCTTAAATCACCTTGATTCAGGAATTGCTGGTACAATTCAGCTGCTTTCTAGTGACCTGAGTTACCTGATCTGGAAATAAGAAAAATAGTGCTGTGGGTTTGTATTCAACGTTGTTGTAACCTCTAGCTGGTGGTGCAGATCTTGTCCTTCCCCGAACAGGCAGAGAAAATAAGTCCTTGTCAGAGAAATTATTAAGGGAGGACAGATTTCAGAGTTTTATTTGCTTCCCAAGCAGGTACAGAAGAGTTGTGCAGCATTTTCTTTTTCAATCTGAGAAGGTTATGAACTAGTTGGAAGTAGCTGCTGCAATTACTGCTGCTAAATTCATGAGTCCAAATAGACTTAAGTTTGCTTTAGTCTTTTGTTCACCAGAGTCTGCTAGAATACCAGGTTCATGTGCTCCTTGCCATGCTCTTGCAGAATACCAATTTGACTACTTTAGAAATAAATTACTCCAACACTTGTATTCCACAGCCTCTGTTCTTTATGACTAATAAACAAAACTCAGGTATTGTAAAGTTCAGAGCACACACCACTTCAAAACACTGTTCAAGGCTCAGGTTCTCACTGTGCTCTGTATAGCCAAGGGGAGATGAGACAGGCGTTTTTGTGGTTTGTTTGTTTGTTTTTTTCTAGAAAAGCTTGTAGACTTGCTTTCTGTATAACTTCTGTGGATAAGTGGAATATTTTTTGAAGTGAAAGAGCTAGAAGACAAAGGGAAAACCAGTTTGCTTGATTAATTTACATAAGTGGAAGAGTCAGGCAAAGCTTGGCCTACAGACATGTTTTTTATATAAAGTTAATACTTTCCTGATTAAGAATGTTACATTGCTGTGATATATGAGCTAAATTACCTAATTACTGGAAAAATGTCATTTAGCCATGAAATTGATGGGGTATTTTTCAGAAAATGTCAAATATGAAACTTTCCATGAGAAAAAAACTTTAAACTGAGAAAGCTGAAACAGCAATAAAACGAATTTGCAAGTGTTCCCCCAGCCCTACTTGCCCAGTTCTCTCCCTCCAGACATTCAGCAGTCAGCAAAGCCTTCACATGTCAGAGAAAGGTCTCTTGTGCCAGGAGAGTGGAAAATCTGAGAAAAAGACTCCTGGTTCCACACGTCCCCCATAGAAGAATATTGAGGGTTTGGTATAAACTCAGATTCACCAGTGCTTGGTGGGTCATCCAGAAGACTCCAAAGCCCATGTTGCAGAGACCAGGCCACTGCACCAGGCTGCTCAGTTTATGAAGTTTAACTAGTGGAAATCTTCAGTTCTTCAACCACCAGAGATCCTGTCTAGGATGTGGCAGATTCCAGCTCATATCTCTGTTAAAGTGAGCACCTGAAGTTTTGTTCAACATAGCTGGAAAAGGAGCTGCTACAAGTTCCTTAGGGGGGTATTTGCTCCAGGTGCCTCACTGGACAACAGATGATCCATTTCTGAAACAACAGTGATGGTACCTGACCATTGACATGTTGAGGCTTGGGTAATTAGACTGTAAGAACCCTATGTGAGGCAAAGTGGAGTGGGACAGCCACCAGTTTGGCCTTCGGGCTCTGTGTTTCGAGCTGGGTCTCCAGAACACACAGATCTCCGTGCCTCAGGCAAGGCATTGGTTTGGGTTTGTAGAGGGTTTACTTTCTGAAGGTTTTACTTTGCCCTCAGGATGGAAGAGCAGGATGGGTTACCACCTCAAAAGGTCTTGTAGGATGAATCAATGATTTTCCACTCAGTTTAGATTGTTTAAAAGGCAAGTAGTTGTCTTTCTAGCCAAGCCAACTGCTTTCTGTATTACATGAGCTGCTACATTTAGCAAAACATTAATCTGGCTTTAGACATGCATTTTATGGCTTTATAGGCTCCAAAGCCAATAGGCACACAAAACAATATCCATGCAAAGTGTTCCCCAGGAGAGTTAACCCGTGTTCCTCAGCCAGAAACAAATTCAGCAGGCACTATTTGGAGACTGAACCCTGCCTTGGCCTCTATGAGAACAGCTGATACCATTCATACTCCTGGCATCAGGACACCCATCACCACAGCTTCACTGCTGTGCAGTCCCTGCCTAACTTACTATTCACGTGATGGCTGGATCTTGTCTTATTTAGCTTTGTATTTAAAACTGATTTTAAAAAGTCCATTCCCAGCTGGTTCATAAAATAAATTGAGCTGTATTTTTAATGATACTTTTGCAGCTTGTGAAAAACTGCCTCTCAGTTTTGTTTACAACATAAGATTTAGTAATAAATGTGAATTAAAAGTACAGAGAAGGAGATGTATTTTCTATTCTGGCAAGGAAATTTCCCTTCAGTTTTGTAAAGCATACACAAAGCTCCTTGAAATGTCCCTATGTTGGATATTGCAGTAGTCCCTGCTGCTTGATAAAGCCATGTCAGCTTCACAAGGCTACACTTTGGAATAAGTTTTCCTTGCATGACCACCTTTAGATGAGAGTCCTGTAAATGTAGCAGCCAAGTGCCTGAGAAGGCTTTCATTGTGGAGCTGCACTTCACTGTTTGCCAAAGATCTTAACAGAGATAAAAAAATTTTGGAATCCTTTTTTGGCTCAGACAACGAAACATCACTCCATCTTTCTTATGCTCAATGATCAGCATCACTTTTGTGCCACAAACTCCACTATATAAAATGTGTAAAGGTAGGTTGTTGCTCACAGAAAGGAAGAGAATAATGCTTTATTTTCAGTCAACTGTGGAATATCAGGATTCAGATGCAGGGAGGGAGAGGACAGAAAGGATGCAATACATGTAGGAAAATGAAGTTACTCTCAGAACAGAAAAATACATTGGAGTTCTGAAGTAAAGGTACAGGAAACCCAGAGGCAGGGGGAAAGACAAGTGGGAATTTCTCTTGATTAAATCAGTTACTGGAAAATATCTCCATCTAGAAGTGAAGTTGAGGAAATAAAGAGAATGTTTAGCTGCCCATATTTTATTTTCTCACAAATTTCAGTTTCATTGTTTATACAGAGGCTCCAGGACCAGGCTCCTCCTTGGACAAAAAAACTAGTCTTTCTTTTCTCAAAATTTATCTGTACCATTCCTATAATACACCCCAATTCATTTTCTTCCTCCTGGTTTAGTATCAAGAAATGCTTTCCAAGCAACGTGGCTTCCCCATGTGTTGTGTCAGCAACATTCATACATTAAAGCACCCCTTCACACATTAGTATGTCTAGTGTGACTGACTCAATTAGAGTGGGAGAAACTCACAGGTTTAAGTCCAGAAGTAAATGTCAATCCCTCCACTATTCCTCAAAGCCCTTCTTTGCGATATATTCACCGTGGAGGGCAGAGAAATAGATGCCAGGCACTTTTTGATACACATTAAGAGATTTTCTTAACGAGGAGGACCAAACCTAAATGAAATTAATTTTTCACTAGCTTGATGAAAATGGATTTTTGTTCTCCAAAAATAAAACTGACTTTGAGGACGTGGTCTTCTGCACTCAAAAACTGTGCCTTGGAAAGAGCAAATAAGTTTTGTTCAGCATTGCAAAGCTTTTTCAGTGGATGTAGGAACATCTTGGTTCAGTTCTCACTGATGCTGGTTTAAGGGCATTTTTGAGGTGGGAAAGGGGAAATTATTATCTTTCTGTGATTCACAGACAACAAACAATAATAACAGAAAAAAGTTTTGTCTAATGACCTCAGGCACTGCAAGGAAAGTAGATTATATTAATTTCAGTGACATCTGGATTATGTCTAGGCTGTATTGACAATTTTGTTGTTCTCTGTGTATTTCAAATACACTGTCTATTTTATTTTTTCAATTGGATTCCCACAAAAACAGGAACTGAAATATTCTAAAGCTCTTTAAAAAACTGTTTTGTCATTCAAGGACAAGGCTAAACATCAGAAATATATGGGTTTTATTATAGTTCCAAAAATACTTTCACCAAATCAAGTACAGTAAACCCAGGACAGCAGAGTCATGACCTTGTTTGCCTGTTCCATTTTGCCAGATAAGAGCTGGATTATCCAAATGACCCTTGAACAGAAAGGACTGAGAATAGAACAAAACACCTGTGGAGCCAAGGGCAGGGGTGATGCTCTATGTCCAATCTCAGCAGATCCCCACCAGGGCTTGGCCAGCTCTTCCTGCAGCTTGCTGGTTTGGGCTGTGGCAGAAGTCACAGGGAGCTGAGGCTTGAGAGTGTCATATGATTGGATCTTGCCCTAGCACCCCCACCACTCCTCAGCCAAAAAAATCATTAACCTCTTGCCCAGAAAAATTTAAAATGGTAACTGCTTGTTGCCATCAAGCTTCTTTCCTGTATTGTTGCTTGCAATAAAGTTACAGTAATTGGTAATTTCAGTGATTGTCTGAAAGTTGTGAGCAGAAGGCAGAACACAATTTAGCCTGTGCTGAATTGATAATGCTGCTGAAACATTACTGGTGTCTTGCTTTCACCATAATTGGTAAGGCTGTACCATTTTTATCTGTTTTTAACATTATAAATGCACATCAGCAGACATAATGTCCAATTTTCACCTTGAATTCCTGTGCCCTTTATTTCTCTTTCCTTTTTATTTCTTATTCCACATGAAATGTAATCACATGCATAAGTCACTCTCTACACCAGCCTCTCAGAGAAAGCAGATGAGGACGTGTTAAGGGTTCATGTGACAATGTTATGACCAGGATCTCTGGCTGTCATTTCATCCCCTCCCTTTTTGCTGGCTTTGTAGGCTTTCCTTCCCTCAATTGCTTGTTCCAGGTAAGGTGTGGACTTTAGTTTCCAGTCCATTTACAGCCCAAGCCTCCAGTGTGAACCAAACAGAGCTTTAGACTGAAGTGAGTGGGTTCAAGAATGCTGAGCTCAACAAACAGCTCTTGGAGGCTGCTGGGCTGGATGAAGGTGGGCTTGCCAACAAAGCCAGAAGGAACGGCTTGTCATGATGTCTTAAATTATGAAAAGTTTGCTGAGCACAACGTAGTCTGAACAAAACATTTACAACACACAGACAGCATTTTTTAGTGAAATTTAAATCAAAACATTAGAGTTACCATAAGGACGGGACTGATTGCTGTAATTCATCAGTTGTTCCAGTCATTCTGCACATTTGTATAATTAAGGAATCATTCCCCATGTGGTGATAGAGTAACTGTAATGTATTATTCTAAGATTCATAACCCTGCCTTTTGCTGCAATGCACAACTCAGTACTTTTGTGTCACTAGGGATTTAGGCTCCTGAGCCACAGATATCCCAGCTTTCATGGTTTAAAATATGACCCATTCCAGCTCCTGCCCTGCAGAAGTGGCAGAGTAAACACATGCACAGTCCCTTGCAGCATCCAGTGACTGTGCAAACCTGCCTCTGCTGATGGTTTTAGTAAATGTGCCAGCCTGGGAAATTTGGCAGCTAAGAAAACAGCACACAGTTGGTCACCTCTACATGCCCTGCTATTGTAGCAACTTCAAAAGGTCTCAAAAGAATTGTGCAAAGAACTGGTAACTATAATAATTTACCATAGCAGCAGAACTTCATACCAAAACATTAAAGATGTCATCGCTCACTTGAATTGGTACATATTCCATGTGGAGGTAAGGGGACTGATTTCTCACTCTGGACTTTGGAGACAGTAATCCTTATTTTTGCTTTGTCACGTTGGGTAAACTCTTGGTGTTTAAAAACTGAAAGAAAGTAAATAAATAAATAAATAAACAAACAAAATGATACTGAAAAAATAAAATAAAATAAATAAATATATACTAAAGTAAAAATTAATAAAAGCCACCCTGCCAGCTTCATGTAGATTTTTATTCTCAGTGTTCAATTTTTGCGTATCGATTCTCCGTAAATGAAAACCCAAATAACTAATCAAGATATCCCTTCTCCAATCTTTGGGGATTATAAAGAAAAAAATACTCAGAAGCATTAATATAAATTATCAAACAGTATAACATCAATACACTTTGAATAATACGTGCCAAATCCTACGTGGAGACTCTCATAAAAAATAGGATGTGACTAGGTTGCTTAGGCTTCAGCTGTGGTGTTTGGTCTTCTGCTGTCCTTGGAAGGATGTTGTCAATGGGTTGAACTCACTGCCCACGATGCCAAAACCCACTGAAGAGTATTTCTCAGTTGCTAAATCAGCAGTAATCATCTGCCAGTTTTAGTCGTCATGTGCAGATTCAGTGACCTTCAGCTCATGATGTTGACTTAAGAGACTTCACTGAATTCCCTTCACTTTCCAGAGTGCACCTGCTCACAAGATTTCATATGTCATGCTCGCTTTTGGAACTAGTTTAATTATATATTTTATATTGCCTGCCATGAAAGGGATTTTCAGTGCTAAGCTAATGCACTTTTATGGATGCTGAAGGCACTGCAAGGTTTCCCAGTTGTCAAGGATATAATAACAAATTAAAACAATGTCAGGATCAAATCCCAAGAAATTATGGACTATGATACAGTGTTTCATTTTGTGAACTCTTCTCCCAGGGTAACAAATTTTAATGAAATTTGAAGGATCAGACAAGAGTGACAAGTTTATCTCTATAGAGAGGACATAGACTTATGGCAGCGGTCAGACCTTGAAGAGCTTCTCCTCTCCTTGTTTATGGCACAATTTAGCCCTTATTTGCAGTAGCCAGATGTTTTTACAAAGTACCAGAATCTTTTTTTCTTTTTTTTTTCCCAATTCCCAGCGTGTCTTTCTACATCTTTATCTGTAATTTGTTAGTGACTTTTGATGCTCCTTTCAGAAAACCTTTCCCTACCATGTCAAATGGGACTCTGATTTTTATGGGTTTTTTTTCTGCTTGTCTTGCCTTTCACATCTGAATTTAGTGTCTTGCTCCCAAGGGTTACATTTCTGGCCAGAAGAGCACAGAGGCAGTCTTATATTAATGTTACTGAGGCTCTAGTCCCAGAAGCAGTGCAGTCTTGAGCACAGAGTAGAGCAACCCTACACCTGCTCCAAATTGGACTGGTTCCTAACAGCCTTTCCACAGCCCAAGATTGCTTCAGCACACTGCAGGGGCCATAAGACATGGCACCTGGCTCTGTTCCACCTGGAGATTCTGAGCCAGCTAGAAGAGAAGCCTTTCCAGGTGTTTGAAGATGCTCATGAAGTGTAAGAGGTGGGTTGTAGGGCAGAATCTTGTCCAAATTACCACAGAGCATACACATATTTAGGGGACAGGAATGAGTTCTGTGTTACCATTTTTCAGTCTTGACTTTGGTATAGTCCTGGCCATCGACCTAACCTGAACTCTCACAGTGTAGTTTTCCCATATCTCTTTTAGTTGCTCTGGTTGTCCCTTTCTGCAAAGTGTCATTGTCACAAAACCGTTAGCTGCAAAACTATTATATATGAAACTATCATATATGAAAAATATTATATATAAAACCTCACCGGTCATTGCCTTATGAAGACTGTCCAGTTCTTAAATCTTAACTGAGGAATAAATCATTACAGAGTTTAGCATTTTCCTTGTAAATCATACCCAGTGATGGGGGAAAAACTGGGACAAGATTTCAGCTTTTTTCTCAGGTATTTTATTAAGACAATGTAAAAAAGTAATAATGCAAGAAAGGCATGAAATAGTCTGAAAACCAATGCTGAAGCCTAAACAACAACCAGCAACAAGTTTTCTGCCAGTTTTTACTCCTGTCCATTGACTTGTTCACTGTGGAAAGAAAACCTTTGACTTCCTATGACATGCATACATAGAATTACTTATTAAAACCTACACACAGACTGAAGAATGTGTTGCACTGCTAATTCAGCTTTGACACTAATTTATTGAATTCAGCTTGATTTCATAAGTTAGAGATTTTAATTCCTCAGAAATCTCAAAAGGATAAATGACAGATAAAGAACTGAGCGATGTGTGCCATCCCAAATTACCCATTATCTGCAACTCTGGTTCTAGAAAATTTTTGTAAGAAAAAAAGTAACATTTTTGGGAAAGAAACAACCTCTTCTTCTTGACAGGTAGTGTCTGTAGAGTGTTCTCCATAATCATTAAATAAGTACCTATATCTTTCACAGTGTACAATATAAGAAGTGGGATTGACAACTGGTCCTTTAAGTGCATGTAATACCCAGACAACTCTGAAGCATTTTGCACTGAGATAATACAATGTGATTCCCAAATATATTCATAAATTACTGTATTTTAAACAATTTAAAAGGAAAACTCCACTGTGGATACTCTTAATCAGCTTGTTTGGTTTTTTTCCAGTCATCATGTTATATTCCAGAGCTACTGAAATAAGCTGTCGATGAAATGTATTTATTGTGCCATTATATTAACATAATCTTAGCCTATACTCATTGTAATGGCACCTTCCTGAAAGATAAAAAGAAGATAAATATTAGGAAAACCTGTAACTACATAAATAAACAATCTGATTCTTACACACTTCAGTTTACCTCCCATTTGATTTCTTTTTCTGCAGGTTGTGACCTCATCCCAGTCCAGTATCTCAGATGGGGTGATCCTGAACCAATCGCAGCAGTTGTTTTTGCGTGTCTGGGTCTGCTGGCCACCTTGTTTGTCACAGCTATATTCATAATGTACCGTGATACTCCAGTGGTCAAATCATCCAGCCGAGAACTTTGCTACATCATTCTAGCTGGCATCTGCTTGGGTTACTTGTGCACTTTCTGCCTCATCGCGAAACCTCAACAGATTTACTGTTACCTTCAACGAATCGGCATCGGCCTCTCCCCAGCTATGAGTTATTCTGCTCTAGTAACTAAAACCAACCGCATTGCAAGAATCCTGGCTGGAAGTAAGAAGAAGATTTGTACAAAGAAACCTAGGTTCATGAGTGCCTGTGCCCAACTGGTTATTGCGTTTATCTTGATTTGTATACAATTAGGCATAATTGTTGCCCTCTTTATAATGGAACCACCAGACATAATGCATGATTACCCCAGCATCCGAGAGGTCTACCTGATCTGTAACACCACCAACCTGGGTGTTGTAACTCCCCTTGGATATAATGGATTATTGATCTTGAGTTGCACCTTTTATGCTTTTAAGACAAGAAATGTCCCAGCTAATTTTAATGAAGCAAAGTATATTGCCTTTACAATGTACACCACCTGCATCATTTGGCTGGCTTTTGTGCCAATATATTTTGGAAGCAACTACAAGATAATTACCATGTGTTTCTCCGTGAGTCTGAGTGCCACGGTGGCCCTCGGCTGCATGTTTGTGCCCAAGGTCTACATCATCCTTGCTAAGCCTGAAAGAAACGTGCGCAGCGCGTTCACCACATCGACCGTGGTCCGAATGCACGTGGGGGATGGAAAGTCATCTTCAGCTGCCAGCCGCTCAAGCAGCCTGGTGAACCTGTGGAAAAGAAGGGGATCATCTGGTGAAACCCTTAGGTAAAGTTTGCTAATGTGGGAGTGTGGGGAAGTTATTATGACCTTCTGAGAGTTACTACTAGTGGAAGAACACAGGGAACTCTATGAACTCCCTTTGCTTCTTCACTGGGAGAGGAGTATGTCCCCTCTCTCACATCGGTAACAGTTTCAGGTTTGATCTAGTCAAAATAAGAGACAGAGCAATGGACAAACAATTACAAGGCTAAAAGTACTGGCTGTGTCAAATGTACACTTAAAGTATGTAGGGAAGCAATGTCTTAGGAGAAAAAAAAAATCAACATAACAAGAAATATAACTCATTGCCTTGTCCTGAATGCAACCATTTACAATCTCTTTCCCTTAAATGAATTGCATAGTGTCTGGATTTTGCCTCTAGCAAAAGCAGTAAGATAACAGGGTTGCTGCTAGAGCTACTTAATCAAGGTGGAGTAACAAACTACTCTCAGGCATTTGAGGATTTGTTTCACATGACTCTTCTGTTACACCTTTTATCTCCTATTCATTTGATTTTTCCTTCTTGTATTATCTCTTCCTGTTCTCTTTCTTTTTATGCTCCCCATCTTGTCTTCTTTACCTTTTTTGATACCTTTTTCTGTATTCACTCTCCTAACTCTATAAAATTCAGATGCTCATAGGCACTTGCTATTCTTCCTGTCACTGAGCAGCTACTGCCTTGTGAGATGTTTCCTTGTTTCTTCCCAGGGAATAATTTTAATTCAGTAATCATTAAGACAACTTGGATATTCAGTGTATAAAAATTACAGTAAATAAACACTAAAGAGAAAGGAAAACTCTGTAGTGGAAATATTGCCATGCTTCACATAGCTGTGCACCCAGCCCAGTGGTTCATTTTAATCTTTTGATCCCTTTCACTTTTGATATGGCTGCTATGGGGTTGATTTGGTTTATTTAACTGCTGGCATAAACAGAGAATTCTGCTTATATGTAAGTGCAGAGAAACAGCTTTGTCATTCCTCAGCTATACGTGTCCGGCCAGGAAGTGACTTCTAGCTAGATTTTCCTCCTCACTGAAGCACACACAGATTTTAGGGGTGGTAATAAGAATATTTCCTGAAATGCCATTGTTCTCAACTGGAGTTGACGTGCAATTAAAGCAATTGTACTTGCATTTTTGTGTAAACTAAACTTTAGACTTAAAGGAGGATTTTATTAGTAATACCTGCAGGACAGATTATATCAAAGTGATAATTTGTTTCTGGCAGATTGATACTAATGCTTCTCTTTCAGGGACTTTCACTGGTAAAGAAACAGCCAGACTATTACAAGACATTTTACACCTATGATCAGTTAATGATGGTATCATACAATTCCTTTCCAGATGCTGAGTAGGATGCATTTTGAAATTATAAATGCATTATCAACTTAAGCGATGGTTGCCTAAACTGTTCTTTTCTATGGCCTCTCTCTGCATGCCTGAGGTGTTCAGGTCATTCTATAGCAACTTCTGGGCCAGCAAAAAGAAACATTCTTCGTAATACATCCTGAATACAAGGGCATTCTTCCCAACAGAGTTGGCTGTTTTCCTTCACTTTTGCTGCAGTGCTCTTTTGCCATCTCACAACTTTTTTACTCAACAACTTACAGATAATGGGAACATCTTGGGCTTGTGATGGATCTGTTTGTCATCTGTTTAGGCCTCATTTTGAAAGATATTTTTAAAAAATCTTAGTTTTGTTTTGAAAAGTAAGGAGTGTACCCTGCTATTAAATATCCCAAAAGGCAAGGTGAATTTTCTTTTTAAGGACTTTGTCTGCATTTCTTTATAACCCTTAATGAGCAGATAACACCTGCAGTAGAAAGCTATCAGCAGAACGTACTAGATCACCATCAGCAATGACTTCTTGTTCAATACAAATGTCTTCGAAATGTCCTGAAGAGGATTGAGAGTGCCCAATGTGAGTAGGTAGCAATGAGAAAGGCAGGACAAGGCTGATATATTTGTCTAAACATAAAGAATTACATTTTTTTTTCAACTTGGAGAATAACTCTTATGCCATCAGCAGTGTCTGAATCTTCAGCTGGCTAAAACGTGATGGAGCTAGTGAGTACAGAAATGTTGGGTCAGTGTGTGCCTAAAGGGTCTGGGAATCCAAGAGAAAATTTATTTCATCAATCATGGGAAATTCTCTTTAATCAATGCCTATTTGATTGCATGAAAGAAAACAGCAGAGAGTCCTGAAATGTGCTGAGTAAATTTAAAATGCTGCTCAAGACCTCAGCTGTGTCTGATATCATCTCAAGAAAGAAAAGAAAACCACTTTCAGCTTCAATTCTGCTTACTGTAAGATATGAACAGAGTCTGAACATTTTACTTAATATTAAAATATTTATTTTAAAAAAAATCTTGTTGCACAAAATAATACATTTCAAGGTATTATTCAGTACAATACTCAAAAGCTTGTTTGGATTAGCTGCTCAAGTAAACACTGAACTACTCAGAATGAAAGGAAGTACACACTAGACCTACGTGCCATGATTTAAAAAGCTCAAAGAGGTTTTATTTAAAAGAAAGTGAGTCACTGTTGAATTTGAAAGAAACACGCTATTTAAGTCACTAATGCGTAGAGGGGGCCCTATCATTAACATCTTGCTTCCTGACTCTAATTTATAGCACAGTGTAGTATTGCATCATATCGTTGTCAAACAGATAATGTCAATGCTCCATTCAGAGCTTTCACATCAGCTGCAAAATAACAGATCAGACTCCTTTTGCCTAAATAAAGCAAAGCATCTGTTAGAGTCCTAAATTACTTTCTGCATGGGGTGTTCTTCTATTAAGAAAACTCAGGCAAGCTGTGGGTACATGTTGGAATGAATCTTCACATACTGAAATATGTAGAAGGAGCAAGTAAAACTATTCATTACCTAGTGAAATGAAAACAGTTTCATATACGCTACTGTGATTAGCAGTGCTCACCAAAATATGTTCTACCCTCATTTAAAAGCAGGGCTAACAAACCGGACATTGTCAGAAGTGACTTCACAAAGAAGAATTCTGAAGTCTTTGTTGGAGTCAAAGCCACACAACCTGTGTTGGGATGAATCTAGACCTTGTGCTTTCCTTTATCTCACCAGTTCATTGCATAGGGATGAAGAAGGCCATAAGTAAATAAAGAACACCTTACCTTAAGTTCCCTGAAATTATTACCATATGTTACATAGCCCTTTTGTAAGAGTCCAAAATACAGGGCTAATTTATCCTTTTCACATTCTCAAATAATTCTTCATCCCAAGTAAGATAAGGACTGTTTGTATTTCTGCTACAAAAGCTGCTACTATGATATTTTTAGCCTGGACAGTTCACCCCAAAGTCTCAGTCATGCTGCCTGGGCATGGGGAATGGAGTAGATGGTCCAAAGTTTCTCTTAGCTGTCTCTCAACTTAGTCTGGATTTCACACAGTAATTTAAACACTGTAGGTGTTTATCTATTCTAGAACATGTCTTTAAATGGCCAGAACTACACAAGCTCCATTTTCCAAGCTTACATATACTAACCCTTTAAGCACGCACATCTCCCTCCAATGACCTGTAGAACAACAAGTTTGCTTTCCTTTAAAGGGGTAATAAACTATTCTGAGTGACCAGCAAAGTGTTAAAAACTGTTCTAAACACTGTCTCTCCCACACATATGTAGTAAGCAAGTGTTAAAAATCCTACCAATATATTTCTCTCTGCCCTTTATATTTTACCCAAATTCTCAAAGTGCAGCCAATGTTTCTCCTCTCCAATTATCCCACTCTTGGTGAGAGATGCCCTGGTGGTTCCCACCTTCAACTGCTTCTCTTGGAGGTCCTCAACCACCTTCAGTGTTCCTCAGTTCCTTCAGCAGAAAATTCTGCACTCTTCCAGCCTGAAACTTGTTACAGGGAAATCAAGAGGAACTTTGCATCCTTCTATAAATCAAGCTGTGGCCTAGGCACAAACAGCAAAGCTGTTCAGGCAATGAGGTGGAAACCTCTGCAAGAGGAGTGGGGTTATAAAACAGCATTGCAATCCCAAGATAAGACTTTCTGCTTGAAGCTTAGAGAATTAATTCATATGGAATCTCCCTTTTTTTTTCTTTTTTTTTTTTTCTTTTTTTTTTTTTTTTTTTTTTTTTTTTGCAGTGCAGTGATAGGCAGAAGAAAGAGATTAGGCAGCCAAAGTGTTTTTTAACTGCCACTTGGCCATTTGCCCTGCTATGATGTAGGACTCATTTAGGCTTCTTCCACCACATTCTCAAAAGACAGAATCTGGTAGGTGTCCAATAGGAGCCAAAAGTACTTTTCTAAAACAATACAAGATGGATGATCATCTTTTAAATGAGATAGGCTTGCTAAAAGTAGCTATTCCTTTAAGCAAATGGACTGAGCAGTATTTTCAATCTGTTACCCAGGCAGGCAGATATGATTACTCAACGAGAAAGAATGATCACTAGTAAACTCAGATAATGTTACCCATATTCAAGATACGTTGGCTGTTTGTGATATGGCACATAATTCCTCCACACAGAGGGGAAGAGCACAATACTAGACAACAGAAAAAGATGCACATCAATTTCTGCACCTTATCAGAGACACCCACAGCAACTCACAAATCTCTTTGAGATTAAAACTTGGTATCCTGGTGAGATAGTGATACTTAATTCCACCTGGATTTACTACGTAATGCAGTATTTGCTGAATAATTAAACATAAACTGTAGCTGTCAAAACCAATGAACAGACCACACTTTCTCAGTTTAGCTACAAGGATGTTCTGGGAGATGGTGTCAAATGCTTTACTGAAATCAAGATAAACCACATCTACTGCACTTCTATCATCTATCCACCTGCTTATGTCCTCATGAAAGGCCTAAGATGCATTAAAGCATCTTGAGAGACAACACATCAGGCACAGGTATCAGAAAAAGCATTCAGGTGTCCAGGCTCATGTGTTGTTAAATGCCATTCTCTGTCTCATATGACAATAACATAAGCAAGGTAGATTTTTTCTTTTGT